CTAAGTCTACTTTGGAAGTTGAAGATTTGAAGCTGAATTTTTCCAGAATTTCTGGGGAGCAAAGTGTGTTTTTGGAAAGAGAATTTACAGAGGAAGAAATTTGGGAAACTCTTCAATCGTGTGATAGCAATAAAGCTCCCGGACCGGATGGATTAAATATGGGGTTTTTCAAGAGATTTTGGTCTATTCTAAAGGTCGTCAAATACTGGATTGCTCTCTTATAGCTAATGAGGTAGTTGATTTTTGGAGGAAGAAATGGCTTAAAGGATGTCTGTTTAAAGTGGACTTCAGAAAGGCCTATGATACTGTGGATTGGTCCATTCTCTTTACGGTTATGGAGAAAATGGGATTTGGCTTCAGATGGAGGAGTTGGATCAGACAATGTGTAACAACAGTCTCAATTTCAGTTTTGATTAATGGGGTCCCTTCTCAGGAATTCTCTATGGCAAGGGGTCTCCGTCTGGGCTGCTCTTTATCTCCTATGCTTTTCAACTTGGTTGGGGAACTTCTAAACTTACTGCTTTCAAAAGCAGTATCTGAGGGACTGTTTTCTGGACTGCAATTTGGAAGAAATGAGACGGCTTTTAATTTATCTCATCTGCAATTTGCAGATGACTTAATTATTTTCTGTGGAGCTTCGAAGAATCAGATTTTAAATGTTAAGAGGGTCCTAAGAGTGTTTGAACTGATTTCTGGCCTTCAATTGAATTTGAAGAAAAACAGATTATTTGGTGTTAATACGGCAGTGGAGGAGGTTGAGGAGTGGGCCTCGTCTATTGGTTGTGCAGTTGGGAATTTTCCCTCTGAATATCTAGGTTTGCCTCTCGGTGCATCTAGGAATTCTTCCTCTCTTTGGGATCCGGTGGTTTTGCAATTTAACAAGAAGCTTGCAGGTTGGAAATCGAACACTCTTTCATTGGCAGGGAGGCTAGTCTTGATTAAATCGATTCTCTGTTCACTTTCAACCTACTATTTATCTCTGTTTAAAATTCCTTTCTCGGTCAATTCCAAACTCAATTCCATTATGTCAAAATTCCTATGGGGAGGTGGAACGGATAAAAACAAGATTCATTGGGTCAGCTGGTCCAATGTGTGCAAATCTAAAGAGGAGGGAGGTTTGGGAGTGTTGAATATTAGTAATATGAACAGAGCTTTATTGGGAAAATGGTCTTGGAGGTTTGCTAATGAAAGGAATGCTGTTTGGAGGAGGTTGATATGTTCAAAATACAATATGGATCCCTACTCTTTACTGTTCAATAGCAAGTTACCAGCTCAATCCTCTTGGATTTGGAGTTCAGTGGTTAATTCTCATTTTAAAGAAGACTCATTTGGCTCAAAATTTTGAAGTATGTGCAGAATTCAAGTTGGTTGTGGTTAGTTTATCTGTTTTTGGCAGGATAAATGGGCAATGGACTGCCCTCTTAAGGTCTCTTTCCCAAGGTTGTTTGCTATCTCTTCAAATCAGAGTGGTAAATTGATTGATTTCGGCGAGTTTAGTTCTCTAGGCTGGATTTGGAATATTTGATTGAGGAGGAATTTGGCTGATTGAGAATTTGAACAGTGGACTAATCTGATGACAATCATTTTTAATTTTTGCTTGTCTAAAGATGCCAGCGATGCTCTGATCTGGAAAGGGAAAGGGGATGGTGTTTATTCTGTTAATTCATGTGTGAAGATTTGTTCCTCGGTTTTCTAGGCGAACTCTTTTTGGAAGAAATTTTTGTGGAAAGGATTGGTGCCACCAAGGATTGAGACTTTTATGTGGCAGGTGGTCCTTCAAAAACTACCAGTGAGGACTGAACTGGCTAAAAGAGGGGTTTCGGATATTGTAGATCTTTCATGTCCTTTATGTAATTTGGTGGATGAATCCTCTTCACTTATTTCTCTCTTGTTTAGTCGTGTGGTCTTTGTGAAATAAATTTTTGCAGTATTGGAGTATCAGTTCGGTCTTTCATGGAAATGCGCAAAACTTTCTTCTAGCTTGGGAAGATCTAAATTCCGGTTCTACTATTTGGAACTTTATTCCGGCTGTTGTTATGTGGACTGTTTGGAAAGCTAGAAATGACATCGTCTTCGATAGAGGGAAGTTGGATCAAACTAATTTATTTTTCTTAGCTAGAGTAAGGCTTGCATCTTGGTTCCTAGCTAAGTTTGCAGATTCGGTCATTTCTTTGGATTCCCTTATCAGTGACCCTTCCCTTGGGGATTCATGTTTCCCTCCAAACAAATCAATTGTCTCTACCATCCCGTGGTCCCTGCCTCCTAAGGGCTTTGTTAAATTGAATGTGGATGCAGCTACTAGTTCTGACTGGAAGAGCAATGGAATTGCAGGCATCCTAAGGGATGAAGAAGGTTTACTTTTAGGTTCTTTTAAGACGGCTTCTGATCTAGGTCCACCTATTTTGATGGAATTAAAGGCTATTAAGGAGGGTTTAAATTTCTTTCACTCAGTGAGAGGAAGTATTAAGGGTCGGTTGATTATAGAATCAGATTGTAAAATGGTAGTGGATTGGATTAAGGATGGATCTTGTTGTCCTGTTGTCTATGCCTCCATTGTTAGGGAGGTAGCTGTTAAACTCAAAGAAGTCGAGGGAGTTATTAGATGAGTGGCTAGGACAGCCAATATTGAGGCTGATGGGTTGGTTAAGTCTGGTATTGGTTAATTTTTCTTTGTTGTTGGGATATCTTATTTTGGGTTTTTAGGTTGTTTGTAAGGGTTTTATTTTATTATTGTATTTTATGTATCTATATTAATAAAGTTTAAGGCACTCTTTTCCTCCTTCCTCCGATTTAAGAATTCAATATGAGTTCCTTAAATCATGAAGGAATTTTTTAATGAGGCCTCAATTCCTATAAAAAAAAACCATGGGTTCAAGACCATCAACTCTTTCTCAGATCTCTTATAGAAATTTTGTACTACTGTAATAATATCAACTGCAACAGTTCGTACACATAATAAATCACTGTCGGATGCAATGAATATTGGTTTTCTGCAAGTTCTGTTTGTTTGTGGATTCATTCTGAGCAATGGGAATAATTTCGATCCTGGGGAAGACAACTAATGTTTTCAGACAATCAAGTGTTGACACTTTTGTCACCCCATAAAGGATGTAAGGAGATATCTACCACACATTTTGTTATAATAAGTTTGCTGGTACAATATTGTCTCAGACAAAGAGGATTTGGTTTTCATTCTCAGATGATGAACCATCGGTGTCTGCTGTGAAACACAAGATCTCATGAATGTTTAAAAAATAGAGAATTTACTATGTCGGGAGACGTTCGAATCCAAAACTAAAGGTCAACCGATGATTTGATAACAACACAAAATCTTTCGACAGATAAACCAGCATCGGACACAGCTTTGATCATTTGGCTCAGGTTTGCAATAAAAAGCAGTAAATGCTGGAAACTAATGAAGTAGAAACTGCATGCATGCAGACACTTGTATATAATGAAGTTCAGTGGATAAAACAGTTCTCATTACTATTTTTATAAATGCTCTTCTGTACATACGTAAACGGGAAATATCTTTAAATTTTTGTTTTTCTGTATATATCTCTAATCAAATAAATAATTTGTTTGATTTTTGCTTACTTTTTCCCCTTATTAAATGTCTCTAAGAGAGCAAAAGCTAAAAGTATAGAAACTAGCCTAGAAATAGCTAACCAGAAGTTAGCCCAACTAAAAACCTGTTGGGATTACAAATTATGTTAATTCGATTCTTTATTTTATTATTATTTTAAAATATTCGTGCTTAATGTATATTTCTATAGGAAAAATATTTTTAAAAAAAGTAAATATTCATAGGTACGTATCTATATTTGACACTCGCTCTTATTCCGAGCAATGACTAAATAAACTTTTAGAAGGGAAAAGGTAAAAAACCCTACACGTTATCTGTTCATTTTTGTTTCTTTTTTCTTTTAAAACTTCATTTTCAACCATAATCATAAGAGAAGTCTCAACTTTTTCCACTTCAGCATGCTGAGTATGTTCCCATTTCTTAAGACCTCTGGCTAACTGATGCATCTAAGACAAGAAAATGATTTCACAGTTTCTTACAAGCCTTTGCCTCAAGTCTTTGATACCTAAAAACAAATGTTCCAGTATCAAAGTTTAACTGCTTTTTCAGCACAGCTAAAACAGATCAAACCAGACCAAAACTGGTTAGGGTTGTTAAGAAAAAGCAATCCAAGAAAAAGGGTAAACAAAACACAAAAGCAGCATTCTACTTAATATTATGGTGTAGAAAAGTGAGAAAAGATTAAGAGGATCCAATATTGTCACATCTTGTTTGATCCATTTTTTTCTCCTTTGTTATGGTGGGCCATTTTTAGTGATAGAAAAGCTTGACTATCATACTATTGTTGATTAACAACTGCAAAGTTTTTGGCTAATGAAAATGAATAGAGTTTACAAGGACAAATCACACTCTTACATAGTACAAGCAATTTACTAAAAGTTTCAAATTTTATTTTGAAAAACAAAATGCACCCAAAATTCATTCCCCTCCCCCCAGTGAATTGGACTCAGAAACAGACATCCTTGTAACACACCATGATGGTCCATTATTAAAACATGCCAGAAAGTATTCATTCTCCAGCTCACACCTCAGTCACTTTTTTTCTTCTTAGCAACAGAAATATATCTCATCTTTCTGATCTTTTGCTATATATAACTCAATTATCACAGAAAGAAATTGAATATTATTCTTAAACGGCAGTGTTCTTACAACAACTATAATGTCTGTAATAATCCTATAGTAAGAGTTTTACTTGGACTCATGGTATTAGTTTTCATTTCTGATGCCCTTTTTAGCTGAAAAGAGCTGCAAAGATTACATTAAAGCATGGAACACAATGCCACAACCACAAAGCAGAACAAAACTAAAGGAAAATGAAATGTTCATTATATGCAAAACACAAAGGATTAGTAGTAATTGTTATGGTTTTCAAGTAGCAGGTCGAAATCCAAGGATAAATGAAGGAAGAAGATGGTGAAAAGGAAGAGCATTACAATAATCAAAGGGGGATGAAATCATACAATTGAAGAAAGATCTTCATAACTTCGTTTTTTTTTCTTGACAAATCACTCTCAAACTAACATAATCATTTTCTTCTTCTTTGAATCCTTAAGAAGAGCCTGAAACTCTGGGAGAAGTAACCGGGAAGAGTGGCAAGAGCTGAGGCTCGGTGTCTCTAGGAGTTGACATGGGTGATGGATGCAAGTAAAAGCCTTTCTCAGCTATAGCTTTGTCTTCCTCAGATGAATTCCCTAAAGAAGGTGAAGACTTGTTGAAAGGGTCTTCATTTAATGGTGTAACCGGGCTAAGAGCTAGCTTTGGGAAGTCGAGCAAGCTCGGAGACAATATCTCGGCATTCCTCGGCGAATAAAAAGCTCCACCACCACCGTTGTTTGCAACACTAGAAGGCAGGAAAGTGTTGATCATCATGAGGTTGTTCTTCAGGTTACTGTTCCTCCTCTCGTAAAGCTTGAAATTTTGTTTCTTGGGTGAGTTTGTTTTCATGGGAGGAATGGGAAAAGATGATCTTGATGGTATTCCTTGATCTTGATGATGATGTTGTTGTTGTGTTGGAGGCTTCGAGGAAGCTTGTTTAGCAGTCTCCGATGAACCAGTGAGCATTTGGACAACCTGTTTGAAAGTAGTTGTGTCAGCTTGCACAAAGGTTGTTGAAGGGTTTGCCTCAGATCTGGAGATGGGGATCGGAGTTAAAGGTGGGGTGTGAATTTGGACAACCCCATTGCTGTTGCTGTTGTTGTTGGTTCCATTGCTATGCGGAGAATTCAAAGGAGATGAAGAAGACGATGACGATGGGAAGTTCAAGCTCTTGTTCTCTTGAACTAACCTTGTTGAATTCTCCATTGATGGGGTGATCTCTCTCTCTCTCACTTCTCAACACCCTGAAAGAGAAATTTTCTTGGGGTTTGTTTGGTTAAAGAGAAAAAAGAAAAAGAAAAAAAGAGAAGAGTGAAAAACAATGGTTGATTGCTGTTGAATATCAGAAAGGTTGCTTTGCTTGTTTATATGTATTTTTGTTTTCTTGTGTTGTGACAATGGCATTTGCAGCAGCAACTGGTTGTAGTTTTTTAGTCCAACTCTTTTTCTCTCTTTTTTTCTCTCATTAGAATTATTATTATTTTATTAAATTTGAAAAACTATTGCTTTATTTGATTATTAATTAGATTTAATGAAGAAGTAAATAAACAATAAAATGGATATTGGGTTTTGGGATTATAAAAAAGATAAGGGTTATTGGTAGAATATGGAATTTCTTTTGGCCCACCTATAGCAAAGTGTTGGAAGATATGAACTAATATATTCATTTATTTGAGATATAAATAAATAAATAGATTGGAATATATATGTGGAATTGGGCATTATTGACTTCAGATCAGAGCCCTGAATAATATATTGGTAGTATGAGCCACTATTGTGTGTTGTTGATGGCCTTCTTGGTATTGTTTAACCATAGGAATAGCATCCAAACTATACATTTCATAATCACCTGAGAACTCCCATGCACAAATGAGACCAATCAGTATCCCTCATAACTCAGCTTCGAAAATCGAGCAAATGCCGATAAACTTAGAGAACCCACGAATCCAAACACCATCGGAGTTTCTGAGAACATCACCACAAGAAACTAGACCATTCTCTTTATTCCTAACACCATTAGAATTGATTTTGACTCAATTCCTCGGAAGAGGACTCCACAAATCAGTCCTTAGAATCATAAACCCCTGTGCAAACCTTTTTTCAGTTTCCGCTGTAATGGCCCTGCATGTACTCTCTTTCAAATATTTACATTGCTCAATCAAAGGTCAGGGTGTCACTTAGAGGTGAATCAAAAACAATGAAATTCCGATGAAGCCATAAATTCCAAACTGTGGCACCAAAGAGAATACCCTAGTCTTGAACGTCTATAACAAAATCTCGAGGGCTCGATAGATTCATCACCACCCACACTTGAAACTCCATGTTGAGAATTTCCAGTTGTCGATCCCTTTTAATCATGACTATCCATATCGTCATGGCCACCGAACACCGCCTGAGTATATGATCTATGTCCTCAATAGGATTGAGGCAAATAGGACAACTACAACTGACCTAAAATGTCGATGCATCCTCGCCATATTAGTCATCTATCGACCACAGCATGCCAGCCATAAGAAGATCTTAATACGCTGTATACCTCGGTATTTATAGATTAATCCTCATATAGATTCTGAAGACTCGCCTCTATTTTTTGTACGAATGCCATATGCAGACTTCACGGAGAAAACTAAATCACTCCTTCCTGTCCATCTAACATAATCGCTAAACAGTCTGTATAGGTCCTCTCTTAAAATTTTAAAAATTCATCATCTTAACCTAAAAAATTATGGATGTCCCTAAACATACAATGGATGTGGAATCTCTCTTATTTTAAAGTAAAATTATGCCCAAGAATGTCAAAATGTTTTTTAGTTATGAATCAACGTCACAAAATAAGAGAGATAAAATTTGTACACTGATGGAAGGAAGAGGGTCGATTCCTTTATAATATTTTAATCCTCTAAATAATAAATCGTTGTGTTTTAATATTTTTCTCGTTGATTAACTACAATTTTGTGAAGGATAGGACATGTAAATAAAGTGCGTGACATAATATAATCCACTTGTACTTTTGAAAATATTACAACGAACCATTTCTCAGGTCATAAATTAAATACAAATGTTTTCTTTTACCAAGTGAATCTGTTCGAATTCGATGGGATCCAGTTTTCAATTTGTTGCATCATTATATTAGCATGAGGTTCTTGGTTGAAATGATAATTAAAAAAATATATAAATATTTTATGTGTAATGGAGTTATAATTATGTTCGATATGATGCAAGTCAATCAGAATCAATCATTATAGTACAATCGAATTAACAATAAAAATATACTTAAGTTCGAATTAAAATAAATTTAGATAAAATCTACACATGATGAAACCTAAATCAATATTATAAAATTAAATTTAAATTACATCATACTTAAACCTAATATTTCAAAATTCTCAAACTTTAATCTTATCATTAAACTAAGTTTTCTCAATGATAAGTTTTTGGATTTTTAAAATGAGTATATCACGCTTCGATGGACATGTGGTAGGACTCTGTGGGATATGACGACAAACTCTGCTATTAGGATGTCCTTAGGGGTGATGTCTGTTTCCGAAAAAATGAGGGAGGGAAGACTACGGTGGTTTGGGCACGTCCTTAGGCGACTACCGTCGGATGCGGTCAGGAGGGTAGAGTCGATTACAGTCGAAGGTGCCAGAAGGAAAGGACGACCAAGGCGGAAGTGGGATGACTGCTTGAGATCTGATTTGAGGGATTTAGGCCTTACCGAAGACATGACCTATGATAGGAAATTATGGAGGCTTAAGACTAGGGTAGTCGAGTAGTGTGAGTCACATCTATAGGGTGTATCATCTTTGTCTTCTTTTAAATGCATTTGTAGTTATTTCCTTGACTTTTACTTTTTATACTTTTCTGTTATTGGTATTTATGAAAGATTAGAACTGGGCTTGCTATCGTTGTCTCATGTGTATCATTCTCATCATGTTTCCTCTGTTAATTTTAGCCGGGTCTTAGGTTTCTGTCTATATGCAGAGACTCTTTCGCAGGGATTATTTTGCAGGGATTACTCCCCATTACAGAAGCACATATGATATTAATGACTGCATATGAAGATTGTTTAGCTATGTATTTATGTAATTATTTATACATGCATTGCATTTTATCTATATTTTTAATTTTCTGACTGCCGGAGGTCTTTCACGGAAGCTATTCTCAACCTGGCGTTGGGGGCAGCCTACTACCCTACCTCCCCCTATCCCATACATATGGGAATTGGGTTTTGTTGTTGTTGTTGTTGTTGTATGTGTATCGTGGTCCTAATTTTGTCATTGATTTTAAAAATTAATGGTGGATGTATAAAGTTATATTCTATAAAAATATATTTAAACCATAAAACAAAAAGAAAGAATCAAATTCTGATTATAATGGGATAGATAAAATAAGTATACGTATATTATGTTGGAAACGAAGGGTAGGGGACCAAAGTCCCATTACAAAAATTGGTGAAAAGGGCATCAAATTCCTCCTTTTTTTCTTCTTTTCAAAACCAAAATCATTATTGTCTTACATTGTGGAGTGCCTAACATACCCCAATTATGCAACTAAATAAAATAAAAGTTATTTGATTAATTAAATAGTACAATCCTCCATTCAAGCATAGCCCAACAATTAAAAAATGATTCGGACCATAATTTAATTGTTCGTATATTTATATTTAAAAACTATCATTAAATCAATTCATCGAGAGTTCTCAATAATAAAAAGGAATGTTATTTTCTCTAAAGGTCATAAATTCAAGCAATTGCATTTGTATATGCATTGTCAATTAATTTAAAAATTTTTGAATATATATTACATTGTAATCACCCGATATTATATTTTTTAAAAACAAACTATCATTAAATAGATGGAGTATTATTCCAATTAATAAATTTTCAAACCACAAATCTTTTTTTCAAAGTCAATTTGTTTAATAAATGATTAAACTAATGATCTTTGGTTCATTCTTACCTCATAGGTACCACAAACCAATTCATTGTTTTAAACACAAAACCAAAGTTTTTTTTAAAAGAAAAACAAATAGCTCCATAATTACAAATTACAACTCAATTGAGAAAATTCCTAGAAAGTAGCAATATTTGTCAAATTTATAATAGAAATAAAAAAGTACAAAAATAAATTAAATCTTATGTTCCCAAATTCAATGGTTTTCTCTTTCCTTTTCCTTTTTGAAATCAAACGATAAATCCCATCATAACATTTAATAACATAAATCGAAATTAAACTTTCTATTACCTTTATAATAAGCTATTAAATTGGATTATGTAGCATTTTCTAAGGCCGTGTAAAAGCCATGTAATGTGTGAAGAGTACAAGGAATTAAAACATTATTAAACTTATTTCTTTTAAAATTTCCACGAAAGTAATGCTATTTACGTCGTTGATTTTACAAGGATAATTATGATAATTATATTTATTGAGTATAAAAAAATTAACAAAAAATAATTATAAATTAAGCATAGTAAACATAGAAATATACATATCGTAGTTAAAAAATTGTAGGGGCTTGGCCGGCTTGACTAAAGTTTTTTTTTAAAATGTTGAAAATTTGGTATCAATTAGGTAATTTTTTTTGGATCATGTTGGAACAGTACCAACTTATTTATTTGGAACCCTACTTTTGATTTAATATTTGCTTAGTACACTTTGTTGGGACCGCCAAACACGGTCTTCTTTTTTGTCTCAACACCGTCACTCTCTAAAGTATACCCAATATTTTAGCTTCATCTTTGAGCTACGAAACCGGCCTATTCAATTCCAAATCCCTATAAATATATATGGGATAGGATTCTACCCTATTATTTTTATATAAAATGAATAAGTTTTATATCATGTAAATAAATTTTCTCTGTTCATATATAAATATTGTTAATTTATAACTATTTTTTATTCTAATCGGAGTTAAATATGTGGTGAATACAACATAATATAAGTTCAAAAACTCTTAATCATTTGATAGTAAACGTTTATATCACAACATATGCATTGCTCGAACCCAAGGCTTCAAGGAATAACAACAAATCTCTAAACCATTAGTGTCCCTTAACAACAAACTTATTTTTAATAGGGTAAACTACATCATGCAACACTTAATTATCTTTTCACTCTTATTTTAATTACTAAAATTTAAAATTTTGAATTTAATAACAAAACTTTCAAATTATTCATATTTTAATCGTTATAGTTTATTTTATTAATATTTTATGTTGTAGTGTATTTTATTGTTACTATTATTATCACATAGGATTATAATAAAAAATAAAAAGAAATTAAAACCTCCAAACTAAAGTTTAAACCCTAAACATAAACCTCAAATCCTAAATTTCAACCCTAACCCCAAATAACAACATAGAAACCCCAAAATGCAACCTACAAATTTCAAATCACAACACTAA